ACTAGGCTACTCTCTATAGGTTCCTGTGGGAGATTGGACTATGCCCTTAACAGGCTACTCTCTATAGGTTCCTGTGGGAGATTGGACTATATCCTTACTAGGCTACTCTCTATAGGTTCCTGTGGGAGATTGGACCATGTCCTTACTAGGCTACTCTCTATAGGTTCCTGTGGGAGATTGGACTATGTCCTTACTAGGCTACTCTCTATAGGTTCCTGTGGGAGATTGGACTATGTCCTTACTAGGCTACTCTCTATAGGGCTCTGTGGGAGATTAGATCATGTCCTTACTAGGCTACTCTCTATAGGTTCCTGTGGGAGATTGGACTATGTCCTTACTAGGCTACTCTCTATAGGGCTATGTGGGAGATTAGATCATGTCCTTACTAGGCTACTCTCTATAGGGCTATGTGGGAGATTTGACCATGTCCTTACTAACTAGGCTACTTTCTATAGGTTCCTTTGGGAGGTTGGACCATGCCCTTAACAGGCTACTTCCTATAGGTCCCTGTAGGAGATTAGATCATGTCCTAACTAGGCTACTCTCTATAGGTTCCTGTGGGAGATTGGACTATGTCCTTACTAGGCTACTCTCTATAGGGCTATGTGGGAGATTTGACCATGTCCTTACTAACTAGGCTACTTTCTATAGTGCTCTGTGGGAGATTGGACCATGTCCTTAACAGGCTACTCTCTATAGGTTCCTTTGGGAGGTTGGACCATGCCCTTAACAGGCTACTTCCTATAGGTCCCTGTAGGAGATTAGACCATGTCCTTACTAGGCTACTCTCTATAGGGCTCTGTGGGAGATTGGACCATGTCCTTAACAGGCTACTCTCTATAGGGCCCTGTGGGAGATTAGACCATGTCCTAACTAGGCTACTCTCTATAGGGCCCTGTGGGAGATTAGACCATGTCCTTACTAGGCTACTCTCTATAGGTTCATGTGGGAGATTAGACCATGTCCTTACTCGGCTACTCTCTATAGGGCCCTGTGGGAGATTAGACCATGTCCTAACTAGGCTACTCTCTATAGGGCCCTGTGGGAGATTAGACCATGTCCTTACTAGGCTACTCTCTATAGGTTCATGTGGGAGATTAGATCATGTCCTTACTAGGCTACTCTCTATAGGGCCATGTGGGAGATTAGATCATGTCCTTACTAGGCTACTCTCTATAGGGCCCTGTGGGTGATTAGATCATGTCCTTACTAGGCTACTCTCTATAGGTTCATGTGGGAGATTAGATCATGTCCTTACTAGGCTACTCTCTATAGGGCCATGTGAGAGATTAGATCATGTCCTTACTAGGCTACTCTCTATAGGGCCATGTGGGAGATTAGATCATGTCCTTACTAGGCTACTCTCTATAGGGCCATGTGGGAGATTAGATCATGTCCTTACTAGGCTACTCTCTATAAGGCTCTGTGGGAGATTAGACCATGTCCTTACTAGGCTACTCCCTATAGGTTCCTGTGGGAGATTGGATCATGTCCTTACTTGGCTACTCTCTGTAGGGCCCTGTGGGAGATTAGACCATGTCCTAACTAGGCTAATCTCTATAGGGCCCTGTGGGAGATTAGACCATGTCCTTACTAGGCTACTCTCTATAGGTTCATGTGGGAGATTAGATCATGTCGTTACTAGGCTACTCTCTATAGGGCCATGTGGGAGATTAGACCATGTCCTTACTAGGCTACTCTCTATAGGTTCATGTGGGAGATTAGATCATGTCTTTACTAGGCTACTCTCTATAGGGCCATGTGGGAGATTAGATC